GCGCACAGCGAGGCGAGCCTGCGGCTGGGCCCGTCGACGGAGCCTCGCGGCGTGCCCCTCGGGCGCCACGAGTTGGGCGGCCCGCCCCGGGGCGCGCCGCCGCAGCGGCAGCAGCGAGCGGCGGCGCTGCGCTCGCAACCGCAGTTGGGCCTGCGCCCAGAGGCCCCGCGTCGGCCTTGTTCGATGCCGGCATGCTCCCTCAATGTATTATGTCGGGATGTGGGACCGTCGAAGCTGGATCCAGGGCGAGAAAGAGGCCCCGAAGAAGAGATCAACCTAACATTGTCGGATGTCTGGGGGGACCTGTTCGACCCATCCTTTCAAGACCTCGAAATCGCAAAAGAAAGTTAAGCGAAGCGTAACCGTTCGGAGACCCGCGCAACTTTCCTGGGTCGGCGCTGGATCCTCTTGTGGCGCCTCTGGCGCCGCCCGCGCGCCAGGGATTGGGATAGCGCGCAGATCAAAGAACTCCGCGCAGACGTTCGAGTGTTGATGTTCCTGCAGTTGTTGCACTTCTTCTGTTGATCGGAAAGTTCAGAAAGGAGGGCTTCTCGCAGCTTTCGGCGCCTGAGGGGCCGGCAGGTAGAAACGAGTCGATGCCAATCTAGGTAGTTTACTAGGGACAGGGAGGCGTTTCGGGCTGGTAAAGTCTACCCTGGGGCCTCGTGGGCCTGTCGAGGCCAGCCAGACTACCTCCGGGGGGGTCCAACTGTTCAGTCGGTTCGATACAGGAACGCTGGACTGATGGGTCAGTCGGAGTCCGATTGATTGGCGATTTCTTCTCCCTCAGGCAGTCACGGTGACCACCGACGAATGTGGTCACCATGGTGTGTCTTCGTGGACATGAAGATCACAGCAGCGGAGCAACGTCATATGATCGTACCTCATGCCTCGACTTGTCTGTGCTGGTGTGGATCCGGCCGCGGCGACGAGGTGCGACGAGGTGGCCCAGAGAGGGCCAGAAGAGGCACCACAGCGCTCAGAGTTCTCGATCAAGTCTCGATCTCGGTCTGCGTCTGCGTGTCAGTACGCCGCACGTCCCGAGCTACTCGAGCGCGCGAGCGGATCGCCCCTGCCGTGCCTTGCGACGTGAAGAGTGTGCGGCTTGGGGGAGCCGGCGGTCTCTGAGCAGTCCGCTTTGCACGCAGGCCGGCCGGGGTCTCCTCGTTCCGCCGCCGGCTTTTTCCACGGCCGCTCCACTCGCAGCGCGGGGCACAACTCGTGCCCGTGCGCCCCGCGCATGCCGTCGATGTCGGTTTGCAGGTCGACCCTGCCAGATCAAGGGTACCCTTGTTCAAGCAGTGGCGAAGCGTCTGGCGTGCCTACAGGCCCAACCGAATAATGTTCACAGGGCTTTTTTGTGGTGTGCAGGAAATGTTCGTAGAACAGTTCTGGTCGAAACTGCTCTGTATTAGAACATCGGGCTGTATGTTCTAAGAGCATTGTCTTTGTCATTCGAACACCTTTTGTTCTGAGAGCATGTCGTGGTTGGCCTGTAGGAATGCCTGGACGGTCGGTTCCTACACTCCTATGGCAATATGGCCCTCGGAAGGGTCTTATGTCCGCGCGTCGTGCACCATCGAACTCGACCGTGCTTGACTCGTGACGGTGGTGCCGCTTCAGCAGCGGAGGACGGCGTGTGCTGATTGGGGGGCGGATCTGTTTTCTCGGCTGCTGCCGGGCCCCCCGGCTGTTCCATTTGTGGCCGGGGGGTGGGAGGGGATGGGGCTGGTTCCGCGTTCGGCGTGACCAGGATGATCCTCTGGAGGGGGCCCCGACGAGTTCCTGTCAAGTTACCCGAGATCGGCACGAACGAAATGGGTACGGAAGGGATGGGGACAAAGACAGACATCGGTTCCTGTCCGTTTTGAACAGGACTCGCTGTCGGCTTCGCCGCGGGCGATGTCGATTTGTAAACGGTCGCGTGTCCAACAGCGGCCGCTGTCGGTTTGGGATAGCATTTGCTGTTGGACGTCGGGCGTGCCAACGAGAGGCTCAGCCTTTCCGCCGACGCAGCCAAATCGGGCTGCCGGGGTGGCGTCGGAGCAGTGCGGCGTGAACGGCCCACCGCTCACAGCCGCGTCGCGCCGCGCCGACGGCGGCGGCGCAAACGCGCGGGCGTGCGGGGCCGAGCGCCGCCCGAGGCCCGAAACCTGCCGATGCCGGCTGGCCCGCGCCAGCGGAGAGCCGAGGGCCGCCCCGAGGCCGAGCGATCCACGCGGCCGCCCCGAAGCCGGCGCGCGCCCTCGCCGACGCGGCGGGAGCCCGCCCCGCGCGTGCGGGGTCGCTCCGGGCCCGCCCACGGCGGCGGCCACCCTGCCGCCACGCGGCCACATGCCCCCCCCCCCGCCGCCGGGCTCCAGGCGGGCCTGCAGCGCCCAGAGGCGGGCCAGCTGCGCCCCGAGGCGGGATCAGCGCCCCGAGCGGCGGGCCCCTCCGGAGACCCTGCCCCCCCCCCTCTCCCAGAGGAGGAAAGGCTACCCCTGCCGCTACCCTTCCCTCGTTTTCCCCTTTTTGGGCCTCCTGGGAGGCCCTCGGCGCCACTGCTGGATTCGTCTCGACATTCTTGTCGGAACGCACCCCAGGAGAGGTCCGGGGAGTAGAGGTATCGGCACCTTTTGGTGTCCCCTACCTCCGGAGACCCCAACTCTCGCGCTTCTCCTGCCATCCCCACAGCCCTGCGCTGCCTCGCGCGGCGGCGTCTCCCCCGTGGGCTGGTCCGCCGCGCGCGCGCGCCCAAAAGCGCATCCGCCATGCTGAGCGCACCGAACTTCCTCCTTTTCTTCGTCGTCGTTCCTCTTCCTCCTCATCCTCCTCCTCCTCCTCCTGCCAAAGGTGTTACAGTTCTTGTGGAGACTGGGATCCGCTCGAACCTTCAATGCATTTGATGGCGGTTCTCTTGCTGGAGCCTGTGCCTCGCCAGGTCCAGGCTTTCTGCTAGACTCCTAGACCCCCACCTGGGCGATTTGTGACAGTGGTTGAAGCCCTCCCCTGGGGGGACTCAGTCCTCCGCCTCCGCATCTTCCTCCTCCTCCTCCTCCTGCTCCTCCTCCTCCTCTTCCTCCTCCTCTTCTTCCTCCTCCTCCTCCTCCTCTTCCCTGTTCCGTAATCCCTGGGCGACGAGAGCTGCAGGTGCACACCGACCCGTGGTCAGGCCCATCCTGGGCCGAGGATCGGTGCGTATGCCTCCCAGACCAAGCGAACCAGGAGGGCGCACGCATGCGCAGATTGTGGGCTCAGGATGGGCCATGGGGATGGTCGGTGCTACATTGTTGCGGAGTGACGCCCTCCTGCATCCTTCCTCTTCCATCGAGGAAAAATGACATCAACATAAACTGTCGGAGGTCGCGCGGATTCCTTGGATCACCGTTGGATCCCCCTCCCTGGAGCGCGGAGCGCGCCAGTGGCGGCGCCGGAGGCGTCGCCAGGGGGATCAGCGCCGATCCAAGAAGTCCGCGCGGAGCCCCGAAAGTTGATGTTTATGTAATTGTGTGTTCCTCGATTCCTCTTCCCCCTCCCCCGTCCCCCTCCTCCATCACCCGCAGACTGGAGGCTCGCTTGCTCGCTCCATAATCCATCCCTGCGGAGCGCCGTCTCGCTACCCTGAAGTCGGGCATGTCCCTCTACAGGAGGAATGTCCAAGCATAGTACAGATGAACACAGCCAGGGGACGAATTATTGAATCGCTTCGCTCATTCCGCCGGCCCGTGATATGGCATCGCTGGTTTTTGTCTGTGTGTTCGTTGCCCATGTTGCGCTCTTGGGGGCGGGTGTCGTTCGGACGCGTTGCGTGGGGAGTTTTGATGGAGAAGCAGTTCCCTGGGGGTCGTCTCTCGATGGGGCGAAATAGAGTCGTCGTCAAGATGCTTCTTTGGGGGGCCTCTTGGGGTCTGTTGAGAGGCCGTTCGGGGGCGCCTGGGAGACATGTTTGAAGCCTTCTGGGGCTTCCTCCTGGGAGGGGGGCCTCTTGGCTGAGAGCATCTTGGGGCCTCTTGGAGGCTACTGGGGCTTGGACATCTGTGGGCCTCTTGGAGCCTCTTTTGGGGACCTCCTGGGCGCCTTCTGGAACGGAGGGCTCCATTTTACCTAACAGCGAAGACTGATAGGTTTCTAGTTGACTCAAAAGAGCTCACAGATACACACTCCACAGGGGGTCCCCGGGCAGTGTTGGGGCGTTTCCGGGCGGCATGAGCCGGGCTCGTTTTTCACCAACATCACACACTTCGTGCTCTTCGACTTCCCAGAACTCCATTCCCGGGCCACATTTTGGATGCCCGGAGCCAACTGTAGGCCACTTCGTGCTCTTCGACTTCCCAGAACTCCATTCCCGGGCCACATTTTGGATGCCCGGAGCCAACTGTAGGCCACTTCGTGCTCTTCGAGTTCCCAGAACTCCATTCCCGGGCCACATTTTGGATGCCCGGAGCCAACTGTAGGCCACTTCGTGCTCTTCTATTTCCCAGAACTCCATTCCCGGGCCACATTTTGAATGCCCGGAGCCAACTGTAGGCCACTTCGTGCTCTTCGAGTTCCCAGAACTCCATTCCCGGGCCACATTTTGAATGCCCGTAGCCAACTGTAGGCAACTTCGTGCTCTTCGACTTCCCAGAACTCCCATTCCTGGGCCACATTTTCAGCAGGGGCAAGAGCACGACGAGGAGGAGGACGAGCAAGACCAGGAGGACGAGGACGAGCAGGAGCAGGACGAGGAGCAGGAGGAGCAGGAGAATAAGGACGAGCAGGAGGAGGAGGAGGACGAGCAGGAGGAGGAGGACGACCAGGAGGAGGAGGACGACCAGGAAGAGGAGGAGGAGGAGGAGGAGG